GAAACTTATTTTCTTATACAGTTTAATCATTTAGTGCCACATTTCGCTTTGAACATTTGTTATTTAAAAGTCAAAGTAAAAGGAACTTTATAAACCTAATTAAAAAATCACATACAGAAAATGACAAAAAGAATTTTACACACGGACACCGCTTTGTTAAAATTTGAGGAACTTTTACACTTTGGCGAAGTACAGTTTAAATGGCTGACAGTGTCTTTTTGATGTCTTTGTCTTGGGAGTCATTATGTGACTATGTGGGTTCATTGTTTACAGAATTATGTACTAAGAATTATTTTACAGATACACATTAGCGACTTGAACCTTTTTAAGTCTCACGGGCATCAAACATCAAAAAAAATGTCTCAGTCACTACCGCCAAAGATGACAAAGGATTATAAGTGAAAATTGTAATTTAAAGAAAAAAGATTGCACGCGGTCCAAAATTTAAACTATTACCCAAATAAGACTTGAAAAATTTAATAAACTTGAGAAATCCCCAACTACTGGAACTTCTTCTGAACTACGAAGGTTTTATATTTATTTTAGCGCAGTATCAATTCTCGCTAAATTGAATGAAAAATCAGCAGACTAATCGTTGGCAGATTTAGCACCGAATTTTCATCACAGGATATCCTAGTGTGAATAAAAAAAAATCAACTTTTTGGACAGTGTGGAGAAATATTCAGTTCTGATAACATCAGTGAAGTCCGGGAAGGAACTACAGAGGACTACCAGACCAATTGCGTTTGTTGCGGACAATGACTGAACGCAACTTAACGGAGAGTAAAATCGGAATTGCAGCTAAGTTATGCAAAAGCACTTAAATTTTTTAATTTTTGCACAAGGTTCTTCAGAGAAGTTTCTGTAAGTTTCAGTAAGATTTTGGCAGAGCAGATATTTTCTGCTATCAGCGTCTGTTTTTTTAGCAGACTATTGCATAATTTTTGTCTTATTCGGCTTGCAAAGGCCAACTGCAGTCAAACTGCTAAAAACATTACTGTGTCAGTCTAGTTTGGTTTTGATCACTTCCGCCTAACTAGACTAAAATTTAAAACTTAAAATTGCAGCACTTTTTCAATGAAAAAATTTCGCAAAATCTTTCTTTAGTCACCTGAAAGACCTGTACTGTTAAAAAGGATATTTACTATGAAAAGCATTAAGTATGCTGAGAAATGCATGCATAACACTAATAAGTCGTTACTAAAAAGCGTCAAATCAAGCCTCTAAAGTTTTCCAATTTCGACGGAAATCCAATGTCGGAAGTGTCGAGCAAAAACACTAAAGATCTGGAAGAAAAAAAGCCAGTATCAAAAGACATCAAGCATAATCTATAAAAATATAAACAGCTGTGAAAGGACAAACTTTTATTCCTTATCACTGCAACCCAACGCACTGAGAGAACCAAATTTAAACGTTTCAGTCTAAACTGCTTATTCAATATATGAAAAAGAACACTGACCTAGTATAGCTAATCATAAAAAAAAGAATAAATATCGTCAGCACAGCAAAAATTATCAAGTCTTTTTTTCATTAAACATCATAGCGCCGTGACCTTAACTAAGGTAACATAAAACAAAAGTGTTAAGTATCAACAGTTATTATAAAATTAAAGTTACAGAGGAAGGCCATTTACAAGTCAGCATGTAAAATAGACACTCTTTTCTAGAGCAGTTTTCTAAATCTCATCTTTTTATCGCTTCTTAGCCATTTTTTTAAATAAAACTTTTCCTTTTTACGGTAAAGATATTGAAACTCAGGTCTGAAATTATAATAAAGTCTTCAAGACTATTGTAAAATTATTCAGCTCTTTGAATTTTAAAACTTTTCATAATTGGCTTATAAGAAGTTGAAAATACTCATCTAAGAAAGCACCAAACTGTAATCTGAAATAATATGACATTAATTATTTTTGTTTGAAGAATCAACTTTTATTGAAGTTATTCATTTATTTATTTTCATTCATGTCTGTAGTAGTCTTTCAAAGTTCTTTTGCCTCCAGTTCATTGCCTTTTTATTTCTTTCGGTAATTTCTAAAAGTACTTCAATCTTATTTTATTTTCTTCGCCAATTTCTGAAGTTTTTTTCAAGTTTTTAATTAGGTAAAACTTTATTTCGTCTCTAGTAAACTGTTATTGTAGTCACCACAAACTTAAAGAGGTGGCATGAAGCTTTTTCAAATAATTTGAACAATTATAGTGTAAGAAGAAAAAACTCTTAAAAAGTTGATTAAAACTAAAAAGAAAATTTTTATCAAAGTATAAAGTGTTATGAAACGATAGATGGTTCTGCAGCAACAATCCTTTATTAGATCTTCGTCTTAGAAACTGTATAAGCAAACTCGCAACGATAAATTTTTGTCACTTTCATTTCTACAAAAACTCTAAACTAGGTTTCCCAAAAACTTTATAAAAGAATATTAGAACAGCTGTGCCAGTTCTAAAATCTCTTCTTATACTACTCAGTTGAAGTAAGTTACTAAAAAAAGCGGCTTTTATAATTTCTTACTGCTTCAGGTAAGGGAAAGTAAAGAACATATATACCTCTGTACCCACTATTGCCGCACCTAAACTTGGCAGAACAAAAGGCTTTAGTCTTAAAAACTCTGTAAATATTTCAAAAGACTTTACCTTCACTTACTATGAAACAATATCTCCAGGAATTTAAACAAAATGTTTGAAAAAAATATTGAAGTAACGTAAGAAACGTTGCAAAGATCTCATCATTTATAATATGTGAATGCAAACTCACATTAAAGATTTTTCAAAAAAAAAAATAAAACGAAACATGTGAGTGGAAAATCATGTTAGAAATATAAGAATCAAAACGGATAAGTTCGAACAATTAGGGGTGGCTGAAAAACAACATTAAAACGATGGCATTGATTGAAAAGCTTGACGTTTGAATGCTGTAGCTGTTAAAAGAAAAAATAAAGTACAAAGCATAAGTTAAATGTTTTTAACATCATATTTTTAGATAAACTTTTTGTGAATCTCATAGTGACTTCATAGACTACCGGAGATACTGGCGATGAGAAAAATGTTGAGAGCATGCAACAAAAAAATTTTTCACCATCAGTAATCCCCTCTTTCTTTTGTTTAACCAAGTAAGTGTAAAATATTCAAAAAATGAACGAAACCTATAATTAACTATAATTAACATCATTAAAAGACTTTTCAATTAGACATTGTCGAGAAGTACCTATCAAAAATACTATGTTTGGAGGAGTGGATAAGGGCTCAGTAATAGAGGAGTAGTTTGCGATTATTATGTGGAAATTGTTCTTAGCACGAATATCTGTGTCGTATTAATAAATAAATTTGGGTTAAATGATCGCTAAATTAGTTTTATCTGATTGAATTATTGTTGTCCATTTGCGCCACTAAACACGGTAAAGTAGACTAGATAAAGTTGTAAAAGTTTCTGTAAATTCTTGCAAACAAGCAAATGTGTCATTTAAATACTGCAAATTTTTTTTCTTAGTTTAAAAGGCAATTTAATTTTTAAAAAAAATCTAACGACAGCAAAATTGAGAAGACGTTTACTTATGTAACAAGTGATTACTTTAAAGTTAGTAATCGTATGCAATATTAAAGTTATAAAAGGTGAACAACTACAAATGTTAAATAGATAAATTTCATACCTTATTCATATACAAATCCCATGCGGTGTTCGTTGATCCAAAACCAGTAACGTTTGCAGTATCTGGTCTGATGTAGTATCGTAGTGTAGCAGAAAGTACAGTGGCAAGATCTTTTTTTGCCTACATATACAATAACAGTTGTTTTTCTAATTTACCTAACAAAATCTTCAGCTGATTACTGAAATAGATTATGAACACTTTGTTTTTTTTTTTTTTCATCTATAAAAAGTGTTCAAATTAAATTTATCGGATGTCACTGAAACTTAGTAGAACTTTAGTTACCCTGTATTCATTGAGCACCAAGTAGATACTTAATAAAGTGCCAGCCAGAAAAAATGCTACTGATACTGTGGCATTCTGTAACATATAGCCGTTAAGAGATATTCTTTGGGAATATAGTTGACATAATCAAGAAAAAAAAAACAAAGATTCTGAAACACACTGACGTATACAAATTTTGAATTTTATCAACAACAGCTTTTTTTTTTTTTTTTTGCTACACATTTATTGGGATAACAAAATTGTTACTATTAGAAGTGACCGCCTGTGTTGCCTCGTAATGACCACAATAGTAGCCAAAGCAAATGTAATTAAAATAAATCCAATAGTAAGCAATAGAGCGCCATATAAGCCAATTAAAGTCTGATTTTTGACC